AAAGAAAGTAGAAAAGAGAAATAGGGAGAGAAGGCAAAGAAAAAGGAAGGAAAATACTAGAAGAAAAAGAGGAGAAAAAGAAGAAAAAAAATCACTTCGCAAAAACTGAAATTGGGATGAAAATGGAAAGCCACGCGGCGCACATGCAAAAGCCCAAAAATATGAAGGGTGGAGATAGCTAGAACTTCTCTGTCCTGGGACAGGACAAAAACCCAAGGAGGCCAAAGAGCTGTTTTTTCAAAAAGAGAAAAAAATTAGAAGGGGCAGAGGAGGGCAAGAGGGAGCAAAGCAGCCTTCCCACCTGGCTAGCGCTGGGTCTGGGAGGGGGACACTGGCTGGGGGAGACTTCAAACTGGCTGAGGTGGTGAAGGCTAGCAGCTTTGTCCTGTCTAGTGCTGGGTCTCTCTTTTAGATTTTATTTTTGCCATAGGGTATGTGTGGAGAAAGACAGAGAGAGAGAAAGTGAGAAATCACCCCCAGGGAGGATGGTCATGCTGCAATCCCTTCTCCTCTGTCTCCTCTCTAGACTTGGGGCATGCACACACACCCTGTGTGATGTTCCAGCTGTTGAGTCCAGAGCTGGAACTGGGGATTCAGCCATGAGGGAGTCCAGCACCCTACCACAGCGCCACCTGCTGGCTCCAAGGCTTTTAATATGTTACTAAATTACCCTCCAGAAGGACCCCAATTAGAGTCCAACCAGCAGATAGGAAGTACCCATTTCTCTCATACTCTCGCCAACTCTGAATGTCATTACAGATTGCTCGTTAGTGGTTTGGGGTTTTGGTTTTGGTTTTCTTTTTCTGCATTTTCGTCTATTGGGGCGAGCATCCACATAGTTTCAATTTGTAAAAGTGTTTGTAGGGATATTAACTTTTTGTGGAGGCGCTCTCTCTCTCTCTCTCGCTCTCGCTCTCTCTCTCTCTCTCTCTCTTTTTTTTTTTTTTGAGAGGTTTTTGCTATAGGATGTGTGTGCTTGCTGGAAAGACAGAGAGAGACAGAGAGACAGAAAGCGAGAAATCACCCCCTAGAGGGGATGGCCACACCGCAATCCCTTCTCCTCCGTTCTCCTCTCGGGATCCTTGGCATGCACGCACACGCACATGCGCCCGGCGTGAGTTTAAGCCACCGGGTCTGGGACTCGAAGCACAGTCGATTACATGGGAGTCCAGCGATATAGCCATTATGCCAACTGCTGGTCCCGAAGGCTCTCTTTTAATGTCAAAAGTGTCTCTACCAACATGCAGGTCTGATGGCTGTGACGCTTTTAAATAATAATAAAATTAATGCCAATAATGACCATTTATGGAGTCCTTATTCTGGGCCAGGTATTAGACTGCACAAAACAGCCCTATGTGATAAGGCCTGGTGGCAGTCCCACTCACAGACAGGAAACCCAGGTCGGAGTGGTGATTCGCTTTCCGAAAGCTGCACAGTAAGTAGCCATTGCTGGTGCTAGTTGATTAATAAAAACACAGGTGGTGGGACTAGCGGACAGCATAGTGGTTGCATCACTGGACTCCCACACAGCTGACCACGGTTTGAGGTCTGGATCTGGGGGCTTGAAACTCATGCCAGGCACATATGCGTGCGTGCCCCAAATCCTGAGAGGAGAATGGAGGAGCACGGATTATGGCGTGGTTATTCTCCCTGAGGGATGATTTCTTGCTTTCTGTCTCTCTGACAAGTACACAGGCCCTATAGCAAAAAACTCTCGAAAAATAATAGAAAAAAAACCACAGGTGGCGTAGGGCTTCCATGAGTTCAGTAACACTTAAATGTATCTTTTGTTCATCATAAAAGTATCCACGTTCACCATGGGGATCAGCAGGTGACGTGGTGGTTAAGGCACTGGACACTCCCACATGGCTGACCACGGTTCGAGTCCTGAATCTGGTGGCTTGCTTTCTCGCTTCCTCTCTCTGTGTGTGTCTCTCTGGTCAAATTAAAATAAATGCATGAATAAATAAAATAAAATAAATAATTCTTAAAATATAAATAAATAAAAGTGTCTACGTTCACCTGTAAATCTGTCTTGCCTATGAGTTCATGGCACATGGTTTACTCTCTGTAGACGGTGCTTGCTAAGCATTTAAATTCAACAACTCCCTATAATAATTACAAGCTGTCACTTAACCCCTCCTCCACTGTTTACTGTTGCTTTTTATTTATTACTTATTATTGTTATTTTATTTATTTTTAAAATGTGCTATAGGGCACATGCACTCACCAGAGAGAGAGAGAGATAGCAAGCCACCAGGTCTGAGACTCCAACTGGGGTCCACCATGTGGGAGTCGGTGCCGCAATAGAACCAATAGTTGGACCTTGTATTTCTCGCGGAGGGGAAACGGAGGGCAAGGCAGGAACTTTCCAGGGTCACCTAAAAGTATATGGCACAGCTGAGAAAGGACTGAGAAAGGGCTTGGGATCCCTAGCTAGGCCAGAGCGTGACTCAGGCCCGCCTCCTGACCGCATGTCCCTTTGTTACCATGGGGGACGACAGAGGATGCTGTGGTGGGTACCAGCCTCTCGGGACCCTAAGTGGGCTTAGACTCCTAGTCCCCTGCTCTGCTGGCTGCCAGGCTTTCCAGGACGCTGGCACCCAGCCCAGGGTGAAACAGAGCTGCAGGCCTCTGGGCTGGTGCTGCCCCTCCTCTCGGCTCTGCATCTCATTGCCAGGGGTGCAGCAAGCCTAATCTCTGCATGTGCAGACTCAGAGGAGCCAGCCCAGAGGAGCACTGCCAGCAGCCCGGGATCTCCGCGAGGCTTGCCGACCACCCTCCCCAAGCCCATCTCTGGGCACGTAGGGCACAGACGCTTGCAGAGAAGGCCACTGGGGGCTTCCTCTCCTCAGACCATTTC